TAAATCGTCCTCGGCTGCTGCAGATTTCTCACTGATGTGTTTTCCTTTGCTGCTGCTGCTTAATGACATGTTAGTGTTTTTAATGACGCTTCTTCACTTAGTCTTTTCATGTTGTTCGCTCTGTGAATGCAGCCTAATTAAACCAATTAAAATGAGCCGTGTTTCACTTCTGTGTGTTTGTTGTGATGTTATAGAAGCAGCAGCTGCAGATTCGCCGTTTTTATTTCCAACCTGTGGCAAGGTCGCAGCTCAGAAACACTCGTCTGCGTCGGCAACCTTATTTCAGTTTGCATGTTTACCTTCTTCCTGTTAAACCTGATAAGAGTGTTTTTGTTCTTCTTCTTTGGTTTGTGTGAGCAGAGCTGGAGGCAGAGGCCAGCCTCCCCGGCAAAGACACCAAGACGTTATCGACCGACCTGATCGAATACGTTCAGCACATGATCCGAGAGCACAACCAGGACTACAAGGTAAGAATGACCAAGCTTGGACCACAGTGACGGGACTTTCATCTGGATTTAACAGTAAATTACAGCTCCTTCATTTTACGGCCAATTTCCTGAGTTATTCATGAAAATTTCCCAAAAATGAGCAGGTACTGACAGAAAAAGGTCAGGTTGTTCTGCTTGGAGACGCCTCAGAAACCCCCAAATGACCGTTACTCATGTGCGTCACCCATGGTCTCTGCAAGAGGCATCCCATATCTGCACCTGTAACAGCCTCGAAGCACGTCAGGGCCTGCTTTATCTTATTTAAGGGGAGAGAGGCCGGAGCATGTGTTATCTTTGTGTTTCGTGAGCCTGTAACTCAGAAAATAATCACGTTATGAGGATAAATATTAAACATACTGCAGTTATTGCACAGAAAAATCACCTGATTCTGAGGGGGTCGGATCAGAGGCGTTGATTGTTGCAGTTTTTTATACTTGGAAGAACCCTGAAGTGACTTGGATAAACAGAGCAGTGTGGCAGAGGTTTAAACTGAGCTTTTATTTGAAAAATGACTCATTAAAATGAATTTTCAACAGTTGCTTTAGATGAGACTGAGTCACCGCCGGGAGCGCTGCCAAGCCACAGTCGGTCAATAAGAGGGGAAACTGTGAGAGTGGATTTTTCTCTATACAATGAAACGTCCTTCACGGAGAAATGTTCCACCCTCGACTTTCTGAGCAGCTGGAGCTTCGCACTGAGAGGACATGTCGGCAGATTCAAGGTTTTTACTGCAGTTCAGAGCCGAGTTGATACTTCTGCTCCCATTAAAGTGATGCTTTTTTCTTTTACAAATCAAAACACAGAAGAACATTCAGACCGAGGTCAACCATCAAATTACCAGCAGATGAAAAATGAAACTTTAAAATCAGGTGCTGAATATACTTGGTGGTTATGACACCTGATCACCGCCCAGGTATAATTAATATGTAGGAAACTCTCATTGCCTCTAACACCGCTCATGCTGGAGGTTTCTTCCTGGTGTCATCAAGCGCTGCCTCATTAGGTGGTTGTTGGATTGTTGGGGTTTCCTCTGTATTACTGTAGGTCAGGGGTCAGCAACCTTTAACACCCAAAGAGCCATTTGGACTCAGGTTCAACGTCAAAGAAAACTCTGGGAGCTGCAAATACTTTGTGACATCTAAAATGAAGATAA